ACATATCATTTGCTGTTAACTTACTGGTAAGATATAGTTCTTCACCAATGACATTGGAATAGAATTCTAGATTCTTTTCTGATTCACATACTGGTAATTTCAAATAGAGTATTTATCTCACAATATCCAAAAGATGGTGAAATATATATCTAACAAATTCGTTCAAATAAAAATCTAGCAGATTTGTTCATCAAGTCACTTCCTATTACAATATTTGAAAAGTTTGTTCATGATATCGGATGTCACAGACTCAGGGATATCAATTGACGTTATCAAGAGGGGAAGTTAATACACGCTGTACTCTTTTTCCCTTGCCTATGGTTTTTTTCCCCACCGGGTTTTCCTAGAAAGGTTTTTAATGAGGCAGCATCAAATAGTGTATAAGTAAATGTGTACTCTTTTTCTTCTACTAGGTTTTTGTCCCACAGGGTTTTTCCTAGTTGAAATTTTTTAATGAGGCACATATCTTATATAATGGACATCCAAGGGGAGTGTTATGAATATTATAACATGTGGATGTCCATCTCCTTTTCTTCCTCTTCCTCTCAACTTCATCATCAACTCCCACTACTTCCACTAGGCATTAATCTTCCACTACTCCATTACCTTTCCACTATGCCTTTAATCTTGTAACTCCTCCCACTCATATTCATGTGGTTTATTGTCCACTATCTATCATTTAAGTACAAATATAACTTATATGTAAGACTATCCCTATAAATAAGCCATGCTATTGTATTGTGATGAAAGTGAAGCAAGTGAAGGAATACAATATCATTCTCCTATTTTCTTGTCTACTTCTCTTCTCCAATTTACTTTCATTGTTGGTTAATTTCATAACAAAAAATAGGTAGTGTTAAAAGTCCATACTTTTTTTTACACCGGTTAGGAAACTGGTTTAGAAAATTATGATTTTAATGGTAATTATTGTACAAACTAATGTAACCATTGAAAATATAAATAAAAAAGGTCTATTTATATTTTCAATGGTTACATTGGTTATATTTTCAAGGGTTACATTGGTTCGTACAATGGTGTAGGCAATGGACTTTTCTGTTTAATTTTCTTATGCAAGTTAGTTCTTTCAATAATTGAATATTTTTTTTACCAAACAAAAGAAATTGTAAAAACACAAAGTCTAGTAGTTAACAACTAACTAGTATTAGAGTTTAAGAAAATAGCTCACTAGGAAGAAAGAAGACGAAGGAAGATAAGTTATCAATGGTTAATGGGGGAAAAAATGAAGGCCAGTTCCTTTTACGAGGATGAGCTGAATTTTTTATAAGTAATTGGTCATTCAAGATACTGCAACTCGAATTTGATCATACTTGAACGACCAAATACTTGGTAGAGTTTCTCATCTTGTTTAATGAACCAAATACAATGACCATGCCTTAAGCCTCAAACAGCTTGCAACTTTTAATGGACAGATTCAAAGCTGATCTCAAACAGAAAGAAATTGGTAATTCATCCCATTTGGTAAGGCATTTGGGGGGGGGAATAGCTTATAGATATGATAATTCAGTTTGTAAATTTGAAAACTTTTTATTACAGCTTTTGCCTAATCTAACTTATAGGTTAAAAACTACTTTTTTAAGCACGATTGCAAAAGCAACTAAATTTACTTATGACTCATGTAAAAACAACTTTTTTGAATTAAAAACATTTTTGCCTTTATGTCTATATTGTTTTTATTCTTTTCTTTATATATTTTTTATGTTTCCAAATCAGTTTTTAGTTATTTATTTTTAATATTATCTTAAGTAAAAATAATTTTTAACAGTTTTTATAATTTTTATAATTTTTAATATTATTTTTATTTTATATTTACATAAATTATGAAGAATATATCATCCAATTAATTATATAATATTATTTGATTAAAAAATTTCACATTATTATGATTTCTAATTTAAATATATTTTATTCATTCAATATAACTTTTTCCTATTATAATAATTTAAAATTATTATATTTTGTAAATTCATACTTTTAATGATTTTTTATTATTTAAAATTTATACCAATTTTGGTCATTCTAAAAATTAAACTTACTTATTCAATCATAATCTAAATAACTTCTTTACTTTACAAACTAATTTTTAAAAAAAATCAATCCAAACACAAATGAGACTACCCAATCTAACTTTTTTTTTTTATAGAAGTCGAACTACCCAACGCTGGTACAAAATTATCCAGTGTCCAACTACATATATTGCCTATCCTTTGCCATGACTTCCTGCAAGTCTCGCGAGGGTGACATAATGAAGTGGAACCCATGAGGTACGTTCAAGGCTTGTTTTGCCAGTTCTGGCTACGTGCTCTATCCTCACGCTCCAGTCGCGAGAAAGCACACCCTTGATTTTTGTAACGAGACTGTAGTCTCTGTGACGTTGATCAATCTCAGATGAGACTAGCGTAACCACTTCGGTTGCATCGGATTCTACTACAAGTCTGCGCATGCCTTGGTCCCAAGCCATTTTCAACCCAAGCAGTAGCGCCCACAGCTCTGCTATGACGCTATCTCCATGATGATCATGGTGCATGAATCCTGATATGAACTCTCCCTTTGTGTCCCTTAGTAATCCTCCACACCCTATACCGGCCTGTCCACTAAAGGCTCCGTCAGTGTTAAGTTTGGTCCACCCTATATTAGGGGGGTCCCATCTTTCTTTAGCATTCATAGTGCCATTTCCGTTCAGGTTAATCCCCGACAGCCTCTTCTATGTTCGCTGTAGGGTTGCTACTATTGTTCTCGCCTGCATGTACACAGTTTCATTCGTCACCTCCTTTTGCTCAAATACCCTTTCATTTCGTCGGCGCCATAGGAGCCAACATATGGTGGCGAAGAGTTGAGTCCATCCTTCTTCCACCTCCCTGTCTCCTTTTTGTATGTTGGCGGCGATCCATTCCCTCAAGTTACCATGGAAGAACCTAGACCCTTGCGCTTGGCCTTGAAGAAGAGCTATCCATAGCTCCTTCGTGCGGTCACAGTCTCGTAGGATGTGCAGTAAGCTTTCTGTGGCTCTATTACATTCCGTGCATGTGTCGTCCTCTCCTATTCCTCGATGCTTTCTAACTTCATTCGTCAGGAGTTTGTCCTGGTAAGCTAGCCACATGAACACCTTGCATCTTTGGACTGATTTAATCTTCCAAATCTTCTGCCAACAGGGATCCTAGCGCTCATTCGCATGGGTAACTACATTGTATGCCGACCTTGTTGTAAATATACCACTGCGGTCGTGCTTCCATTTTACCGTCTGGCTGTTTTGATCTATCTCAGTCCCATTTTTGACCACATCCCAACTTCTTTTGATGCCTGTCCAGGTGTTGGACCCTGCTCGATTTCCAGCAATATCTGGGATGAGGTCGTTGCCACATTGATATTTACTACAGACCACTTTGACCCAAAGATCATCTCTCTTATGAATCAAGCTCCAACCCAGCTTGGCCATGTAGGCTTTGTTGTGGCTCTTAAGATGCCGAATGCTGAGCCCTCCTCGATCTTTTGGTCTACAAATTTTGTCCCATGCCACGAGGTGTATCTTACGATGCTCCGTGGAGGATCCCCACAGAAAGTTCTTATTGCTTCGATCAATATCATCGCAAGTCCCAATCGGGAGATGGGAAGTCTGCATAGAGTAACCAGGGATGGTGGACGTGACAGATGCTATTAACATGGCTCTACCCGCCAAGGACAGTGAGTTCGCCTTCCATTGAGATAGTCGTCCTCGGACTCGGTCAACCACGTGGCTGAAACTCTCCTTCGTCACCCTTTTGTTGTGAAGGGGCACTCCTAAGTATTTGCCCATATCAGCAGCCAATTGGAATCCCAATCTGTCACTTAACTATGCACGTCTGTTATGGTTCACATTTCGAGAGAAATAAACTCTTGTTTTGGCTGCATTCACCTTAAGGCCCGAGCTGCTGCAGAATCCCTCTAGGCATCTCTTAATCTCATCAACCTGGTCTCCCGCGGCCTCGGCAAAGATAATGACATCGTCAGTAAAGAATAAATGGGATATTGGAGGGCCATTCTTACTTAGCTTGATGGGTCGCCACTTGCCAAACTGTATCCTTTCCTGCATCATATGGGCCAATCTTTCCATGCAAATTACAAAGATATATGGGGATAGTGGGTCCCCTTGACACACTCCTCTTGTTGGCATGAACGTTTCCGTTCTCTCCCCATTCCATAGCAAGTTCATGCTGGTAGTAGTCACACAAGCCATAATTACCCTTATCAGGTGCGTAGGTAGGCGTAGGTCACAGAGGCATTGTTCCACAAAGTTCCAATTTAGTCGGCCATATGCCTTTTCGAGATCAATTTTAATGGCCATAAATCCCTTCTTCCCTTGCATATTTCTCATAGAGTGAACTACTTCCTGCGCTACAATAATATTATCTGAGCTATGTCTTCCAGGAACAAAGCTACACTGGTTTGGGCTTATGACTTGAGGGAGTATTAGCTTCATCCTGTTCACCACTACCTTGGTGATGAGTTTGAATAACCCAATCTAACTTTTACTCAATCTTACTTTTCTAAAAGCCGGATTGAAAATTAGTTATTTTTTCTACTGCCAATCCAAATGGACCCATTAGGGTTTAGGCAAATATCTTGGGGAAGAAATGAAATAGTGATGATGTTACCTACGATGATAATATAATGGTAGAGGCAACAGACAGTGATAGTAATGGCAAGCGACTGAAGACGACTTGAGCACTCCATACCATCTCCATATTACTTTCTGAGAGCGCGCCTCTTCGTATTCTAAGACCGTGAACATGAAGGGAGGATGGCCTGATTTATATAGCTATAGCAAAAAGTTGACACCAATTAACATAAAAACTGGTGTTGAAAATTATTTTACGTCGAACACAAGATAACTGGTGTAAATTTGAAATGTTACATTGAATTTGACAACACCAGGCGTAAATGTCCTAGAAAATAACTAGTTGTTTTTCTCTTTCTTTAAACCAGCAAAAAGAAAAAAAGGTTACATGTTTATGAGTTTTAGGGTTTATTGTTAAAGATCGAGAAGAGAAAAACGTGTTAAAAAGAACAATCACAAGAGTAGATCATCACAAAATTCATTTATATATATTTATTGGTAGGGGCATGAAGGTTGTCTTTACAAAATATTTTTTAAAAAAAAACTACATTTTTACAATAAAAAAACTAGTGGTTGAAAGAGGATAAGGCTTTTTCATCAAACAACAAGGAGAAGGCATCCGAGGGATTGTCCATGTCATCATACTCGATGTGCGTGTCATCAAGTAGGAGGTTGACCTTTTTGTTGAGGGCATAGAAGTGAGACACCATGCAGTGGGGGTCGCATTCAATCATCGCTACTCTTGCAAGTAACCAGTCAAAAGGAGGCGGAGGTAAGAAGGCAGGGGAGGGTGATGGGGAGGGGGAGGAGGAAAAGAAAAGGACATGCTGGGACGGTTTTCTACTATTTCACCATTGTGGGGCTGTCGGAGGTAGCAGAGAAAGATGTTGGAGAAGGAGAAGAAGGAGGACAGTTGGCTTCTACCTTTAAATAGATGACATTAGGACATGATGACCATTTGAGTTCAGATTACTTCAAGGAAACAAAAAGGCTAGAGATAGGCTGATGCGAAGATTTGTAACACCAGTTATTTACAAATACCGATGTCATTTAAGTACCCTTACACCAGTTGGGTTAACATTTGATGTAAAAAGTAATAGTGACACGAGGCATGATAATAATCGGTGTACATATTGTATCATTATTTATAAAAATGCCACCGCCTCATTTATTACACCATTGGCGCAATAACCCATATAGACTAGGCAGTGTAAAGGGCATTTTCCTAGTAGTAGCAGATTAGCTTTGTGAAAGTGATTTTATGGATTTTGAAATAGATATGTGATAGGAGTTTTATTTCAACTTATGTAAAAGTACCTTTCTTTAGTGCTTTTGAGTAGTTGCCAAACTCCTGCTAAGAGGAGGTAGAGAGATGGAGGAAGGTGAAGAAAAAAAGGCCAAGAACGATCAACAACAGAGCAGAAGTGATTGCAGATTGTCCAAATGACGCCGGAAAAGCATCACTAATGGCACTGACAAGAGAGACGACGCTTTCCTTCTAAACTACTAGGAAATGCTAAAATCACCAATTTAATTATTTTTTAAACTTTAGAAGCATGAAAAAAATATGGTTTTCAATATTAGTTAAATAAAAACCTTTGTATTTGTCATAATTGTCTTTTTATCTAATCTTTTTGTTTTTCGCTTGATCTATTTTATTTAATCCACCCCTAATGTTTTTTTTTCCACTAATAAAACTTTTCTTTTATATACGTTTGCGACCTAAGAACATTAGGGACATCCAAGTTTAGAAAACTTTCTCAACCCTAAAACTCTCTTCCTCACAGTTCTCGTCCATTACCTCCCTCAAAATAAGGATCTACCCTTCTGTCTCCCTTCTCTCACCTCCTTCCCTCTCTCTCTGTGAATTTCATTGATTCCTCGTCATTTCTCGTTTGGCTCTATCATTGGCGACATCATGGTATGTTCTTACTGCTTCATCTCTAGTTTTCATTAATTTTGATTAATGGTCTTAGCATTGTATGATTCATGTAGCCGACTAAAACTAATAAGGCTTATTGTTGTTCCAATCAGGTGGGGTAAGAAGAAATTCTTAAAAAAAAAATCCAAGCACTCAAGGAAATGGCAGATACATTAATTAATTAGAACAAAATGTAACTTCCAGGTTATTTACTGTATATTTCTTTCTATTATAAGAAAACACGTTCGTATGATTTTTTTCTTTAGCCTAGTTTTAGGAGGATCTGTTTGTGATCATATTTGATCTAAATTCATTACTGTACATAGAGTAAGGAAGGTTTATTTTACAGTTTAATTTCCAATAATAATTCATACATTGCCATTATCATCAAAATTGAGTATTTAAACATACTTTGTTATACCATTATAATGAAGATTGAATCTTGTAGAAGGAATTTTGATATACTTTAACCAATGTCTCAACACTCGAAGCTTTGTGAATAGAATAATATTTTGGGAAAAGTCCCCAAAAAAGACTTTCAAAATTTTAAAAAAAAATTGATAAGCAAATGACAACAATTTTTATAAACGGGTTTCTGTATGCAAGTTTTCAATTTTTAAGATTTTTTTTTGGCAATTTTCCCAATTTGTTTCCTCATTTTGATTAATAATAAAAACATTAATCTACGAGTATCTATTTAATTTCAATTGATTTTTAATCTGCTCTTTTTAGTTTTCTTTAATCAATAGTCACCTGAAAGTGAAACTACGAGGACTTATTGAGAAATCAAGTGAAATTATAAGAGCTTGATAAATAAAAACTACAGTAATCTTAATAAAAATTAAGTGAAGCTACATGGACATGATTAAAAAAAAAGAGGAAATTTTTTATAAATTTGAATAAAAATCAGGTGAAACTAAGCAACTTGCAGGTTAATTTTCCGCCAAAAAAAAAAAATATTTTATCGTGTGCTCACATGATTATCTTGTTCTTCAATATCCATGTACTCATCACATTCATCAACCTGGTATATATTTGTTTCTTTTATGAAACTGTTAGGCTAACGCAGCATCTGGAATGAATGTGGATGATGAATGCAAACTCAAGTTCTTAGAACTAAAGGCCAAGAGAAACCACCGTTTCATTGTGTTTAAGATTGAGAACCAAGAAGTGGTGGTAGACAAAGTTGGAGGCCCAACAGAAACCTATGAGGACTTCACAGCATCTCTTCCACCTTCAGAGTGTCGATATGCTGTCTTTGATTTTGATTTCACCACCGAAGAGAATTGCCAGAAAAGCAAGATTTTCTTCATTGCATGGTATGTTTAAATAACTTCCTCCATATATAATTTGTCTTAGACCAGGAAAAAATGATGCTAATTATTAAAGCCTATGTTTCTTCTAGAATTATAGAATATTAGTGCTCTTGAAAGTTGGAATTCTGCTAATAATTACTTCTGATAAACAAGGGCATACTTAGAAGTAACTAGCATTTTGTTGAGTCAATTAAGGATATAACCAACTTTTATCTTTAAGATGCGTGTGATATGGTTGAGATTGCCCTATATTTAGGACTGATTAAAGTATAAGGGTTTAATTTATTTTCATGTTATGTGCCTACAGGTCTCCTGATACATCCAAAGTAAGGCAAAAAATGGTGTATGCAAGTTCAAAGGACAGATTCAAGAGGGAACTCGATGGCATTCAGGTTGAACTGCAAGCTACAGATCCTAGTGAAATGAGCTTGGATATTGTCAAAGCTAGGGCAATCTAAGTAGCGTCTCTTAATTAGCAGTATTCATATTTCAATCTCTCTCAGATATTTGGTTTTTATTCCTCTGTTGTTGAATGACATGCATTCTATCTAGTTTTGTAGTTCAATATGTATTACCTGTAGAACACTGTCTTCCGTACATTTAAGAGTCATTAAATGGCTTGGATTATTCTTGAATACAAAATATTCTTCTGTTATGAAAAATGCAAGTCCATTTCCCACTTTCTCCCTTTGCGACTTTTTGGGCAAAATGTTATACACAATTAAAAAAAATATATTATCAACATATAGAGAAAATCATTACCAAAATACTACAGGCAAAATCATTCTTGGTAAGTGCGATGTTATGTTAAACAAACATGAAACTCATTCTTTGGAAGAGCAAGTCCTGCAGTATCGTTTTCCTTTTAGTCAACTATTGATCAACTATTAACTACTACTTTTAAAATCTTGTAATACCTGATTCGTTTAAAGATAGATCGGGTGTGATATTATAGGATCTAAATATATTCAATTAATAAGATATGCATAGTATCTTGATTGGAATTTGAATATATTGAATAAAATAAAGAGCATTATAATTAAATGGATTCCAATTGGAAGCTCAAATGAAAAGTTTATTAATTACTTTTAGATTTGAATAATATCTTAATTGGGATTTGAATATATTGAATTAAATGGAGAGCGTCATTATTAAATGGGATCTCAGTTGGAGACTCAAATGAAAAAATTAATAATTGATTTTGAATTTGAATAATATCTTAATCGGTATTTGAATACATTGAATTAAGTAGAGAGTATCATAATTGAATAGAATTTTAATTGGAGGCTGAAATTGAGAAATAAATAAATAATTTTGAAGTTTTATTTGTCTCTTCAAATTTTGCATTTTTAATTCAAATCTCATTTGAAGGAATAAAAAAAATCATAATCTTATAAATAACCTTTTCCTTGATGCTAACATTTCACTTTTCGCTCAATTAATTTTTTCTCATCCAGCATATTACGAACCCGAGGTATTTATCTTTGTCTACTGATTTTTTGTTTTTTTTTTTTATTGTCATTGCCTTTTTATGATATTAACTAACTGCAAATGCTTTCTAACACCATGCTAGCAACATCAAAACAAACGTTGAACTTCTCTCATGAATTGATCAAGGATGTTGGTTAGACTACTAAGGAAGTGGACAATATCTAAGTCCTCACCCTTTGATATTTGGAAAGTTAGTATGATTTTGTCCAATAAACATGTTAGTAAATAATAAAGAAGCTTTATTCATTGAAAAAGTAATATTTTTAGTATACCCATTTCATCTTATTCCATGCAACCAAGTTGATAGGATTAAAGCTTCGTTTAAAAAGATAGATACATAGATATGTCAACAATTTAGTAGAAGCTGAGGTTTACCAGTTCAAAAACTTCAAAGTTGTGGTTAATGACCATGACAATTACAAAACTTGTAACCACTATTGAAAGATTATGTTCCATGCGACTTCTCTTTTAATTTTCTTTTTATTCAACCCATTTGAATTCTCTTTTTATTTTCATATTCGAATTCAACCCATTTGACTTCTCTTTTTATTTTCATATTCGAAGAGGCACAGCTTCATGTAATGAAAGAATGGCTCTTTGTGATAGAAAATTTATACTTGAGAGCTAGCAAAAAGACTTCAGAAGGTGATCGGGATTAAATGGGCTGGCTCAATCAACAAGCTTGAAAAATAATACTTCTCAGGAGAATACGCATATGTTTTTGTAGCAGATATCTCCAAAACGAGAAATTAGTGCACTAATCAAAGAAAAAGGAGTCCATTAGTCACACGGAGGCAAAATTTGGGATTAAACTCTTAATAAGGGTGGATCACATCAAAATTGGATTTGATTTATTATCTATTATGATTATACAATCTATTTTAAGTAATTCTTGAGCTACCTAAAATATAATAATGCATTATATTATTATTTTAAATCTATCAAATATATATGGAGCAAAATTTTCTATTTTTAAATAAAAAAGGTGGCGAATTGCTCTTGTCACCAATGTTGTCAAACTCACAAGTCCACTCATTAAGTTTACTGAGTTCACGTTTTTAGCCATTGAAATTGAGTGTAAACTCGGTTAAACTGGGATCTAACTCAGTCAAACTCGGTAAAATTGCCATTTCAAAACCGAGTTAAGTGAGTCAAAGATTTGAGTGGTAAAATACTAAAACTCGTTCAAAAAAAAAAGATTGAAAAGAAAAACTAATATAAAGTCAAAAGAGAAAATAAATATTACTTTCGGATGCCCTATTTTGAGCCCATAGACTTTGTGTCGCCACATCTTTTTCAAGTTCAAAGCTTTCCTTCTTTAGTTGTAACCATTCGAAGAAGAGAAAGAAAGGAGAAGAGGAGAACAAGAAAAATAGCACCTGTAAGTTGTAATAGTTCTTATTTTTTTGTCTCAACTCGCTTTGCGTCTCTCTTGCTTGTTTTTCTCCAAACCTGAGACAAAAGAAGAAAGAAGAAGAAGGAGATAGAAGAGAGGAAAAAGAGTTTGAAGAAGAGAAAAAGAGATTGAGGAGAGAGTAAAAATTATTCAAGTGATGTATTTTTTTTAATAAAATATTATATTTTATGTTAGTTAAAGGCTAAAGAAAGAACAAGAGAATGTTGAGTGTTTGAATGTTTGACAAGCAATTTATTTATCTTTTGGTCTAGTTGTCTAAGTAAAACTTTGAAAGCATGTGAAGTTGAACCCAACTTCTCTCTTTCCCTATTAACTACTGTAGCGTGAAAAGATGTAAGGTTAAGAATCTTTTTTTTTTTCCAACTTTTTATTGCTTTTCAACAACTTTCAGTATATTATATGTTTTCATAGTACTATCCTTCTATTGCTCTCAAACATCTAGGCATAGGATTTCTGGGACTATTATATTTTAATAATTCTTTCTAATTGTTTCATTTAATATTTAATAAAAATAAGCTCATATTAAACAAATAAATTTGGTTTCACTTTACTCGCTATTTACTTTACATAAAATTTTTTGCTTAATTGTTACTTTGATGATTATCTGATGTATAGTTTATTTTTTAATCTTATAATTTATTTTGACTAACTATTAAGTAGGTAATATATTAAATTGAAGATGTCTTCAATTGTAAGAGAAAATACTGGGAAAAAACTTACTGCCGCAAGAAAAAACTATTCGGGTAATAGATCTAATATAGGATGGAAACATAAGATGGATGTTGATGAGAATAGAAAAAAAAGTAAAGTGTAACCATTGTGAAAAAATTGTCAATGGAGATATTTACAGTTCAAACATCATCTAGCATACACTAAAATAGATGTCGAGGCTTGTGTTAATGTTCCTAAAGAAGTGAAAACTACAATACTACAACATATTTGTGAAGCTAAATGTGCTTCATCTAAAAGAAAAAAACAATGGGTTGATGTTAGTAAAGAAAAAGATCAAGAGACTCAAGCACAAGTTGAATCTCAAGAGTCAGAGAAAGTGCTCATGAATTTCTTGAGAAATTCAAAAAATAATAGCAAAAGGGCAAGCACCTCCCAATCAACTATTTATCAAATGTTTAAGAAAGACATGAGGGAAGAAGCTTGTCAACAAGTAGCTTGATTTTTTTATACAGGTGCCATTCCTTTTAATTGTCTAAAAAATCTTGAGTTTATAAAGATGTGCGAAGTCATAGGAAGATTTGATCAAGGATTTAAGCCTCCTTCTTATCATGAGATTAGCGAAAAATACTTAAACCTAGAAGTAAAAAATACACAAATCATGCTTGATCTCTTTGAGAGTGAATAGACTACAACAGGTTGTTCCATGATGTCTGATAGGTGGATTGACAAAAAAAGGTGCTCAATTTGCAATTTTTTAGTGAATAATCCGAAAAGGACAATATTTTTGTATTCGCTAGATACTTTGAAATTTTTAAAACTACTGACAAAGTATTTGAGATGCTTGATGAAGTTGTGGATAAAGTAGGAGAGCAAAATGTGGTTCAAATAGTAACTAACAATCCTGCAAATTGTAAAGCAACTGGGCAAAAGTTGATTGAAAAAACGAAACATTTGTATTGGACTCCGTGTGTAGCCCATTGTATTGACTTAATGTGCGAGGACTTTGAAAAAAAAATTGTGTTGCACAAACAAACCATTAGCAAGGGTAGAAGAATCACTACATATATTTATACAAGATCAATACTCATTAACCTTTTGAGAAAATACACAAAAGAAAAGGATTTAGTTAGGCCTGCTGCAACTCGATTTGCCACTGCATATCTGACTTTGTCACGTCTTCATGCACATAGAGTACCACGGATAAATTTGTTTAATTCTCAAGAGTGGAAGAATATCAAATATCCATCCACTCGAGATGGAAAGGAAGTGGCAGAAAGTGCTATTAACAATAATTTGTAGAAAAATATTGTAACATGTCTAAAAGCTGCTGCTCCTCTTATTAAAATTCTTTGCTTAGTGGATTCAGAAGAGAAGCCAGCTATGAGATTCATATATGAGGCAATGGAAAGTGCAAAGGAAAGGATCAAACAAAATTTTAATAATGTTAAAAAGAAGTAAGTATTAAATTAAATTATGTTTAATTTTATTAATGTAATTTTTATGCTTTTTATATCTTGATTACTTTTTCAGTTTTGTTGAATGACCCTTTTTATTTATTGATTGTCATAGTTATGAGCTTATATCACTACTACAAAAAAGAGCTTTTACGATGCTAATTTACAGCGATTATTAGAAAAAACACTATAAAAAATATGAAGATGGCATTTATGTAATTATAAGCATACTTTTAAAGGTGATTATTTAGATTATTTAAATAACCGCTGTTAAAAGTATTTTTTACGATGGTTTTTTAAATAACCACTGTAAAAAAATACTTTTAACGATGATTTTTTAAATAACCTCCGTAAAAAGTCTATCAGAATCTTAAAATCCATCGCATGATAGTTTTCACTTTTCAGAGTTAGAGCTCATAGTCCT